CTGAGAATAATGTGAGAACGAAACCTGAAAGAAGGATCCGCTTGAGACGACTTCTATTCAAAGCGATGGGCACTCCGTAGACAACAGTGGTAGGCATCTGTTATGGTCTGTTACAGCTTCCTACTTGGTCTAAATAATTCCCGTCGTCTCTCGACCCGATTAGAGCGTGAGCGACCACTTGAGATGCGGAAAAACGGTCTGGCAAGTGCCGATGTGCCGATCAGTGTAGGAAAGGGGTCATTAGAATATGAGAAACCAGTTTGCTTCACATCCTCTGCTCAGGACGCTTCGTCCAGAAGTCTGCTAAGCAAAGGCTGAGGGCTCAGAGGTTTGGGGGATGACGATGGCGAGCAGGGCACATCGCCGCGATGTGGGAAATGCCTGCAAAGAATGACCAACTTAAATTTCCTTCATCGCTATGATCACTTCACTAGCCGACTACCAACAATCCAATTCAGGGCGTTGGAGAACCCTCAAAGGAGGTGTTATTTGACCACTGGAGGGGAGCGTGATATTTGACCTTGGGAAAATTCTTTTGGTTGTTGACCTATCCGTTTCACAGGTGTTGTACACCCTCCTCCTCCTCCCTCGACGAGACGGCGGCACCGCCGAAGTACTAATTCTCAAAGTAGATTGAATGTGTCTGCCCATACTCCCCTCCTCCCCCCCCCCCTCGGCGGCGGAAATCTTTCGGAAAGCCTGGTAAGATGATCGGTCGATTGAAGTGGTATGTATGTATCAGAGAACAGAATCTGGATCTGGTTTGCAGTTGACAACAATTATCGTGCCTTGATCCAAACGTTCCTAGAACTTTGCCGTCGAGAGAAGGAGGAGGGTAGACACTTCCCATGGACCAACAAGAGCAGTCACCACCAACAAGGAAGCTGGTTGGGAACAGCGCGCGTGAAATGAGAAAAAATCAACAATCGGGAACAAATCTCTCGAGGTGAAATGCGGCTCCCCTACCCCAGTGACCGGATGATACCCTCGCTGGCATTTCCAGGGGAATGAGGGTAATGCGCCCTGAGTTAAACGGTTCTGCGCCATCGTTCGGATAAGATTATTCGCTTGCTTTTGGAGTTAGGGGAACAGTTACCACTGTTCCCCTTGAATCCTGCTCGTCTTTGACAATGAGAACGGGGACTCTATTGCGCATTCTTTGGTATGATCCCGTCGGACTTCGAGCGCTGCAGCGTGAGTATCATATTACCTTCGTGACATCACTTCCCGGATACCTTAAGCTTTATTTGACATGCATTTTAGACCCGTTCTTTGTAGCGAGGCGAGCCATCACGTTGAGCAAAGGAAGTTTTGCAAAATCTCCCAATTTGTAGCGCACTCACAGTGCAGTAACTAAAGTCTGATAAGACCTTTTCGAGTCTATTGGGCAGTTCTTAGTTTTCCTTATACTAACTCTCTTTTCCTGAAAATCTGGCGTCGAGCGGGACGCCCGACAAGGGAAAGAGACTTTTCCACCAATCAACTACCAGAAAATCAGTAAAGGCACTTTTGCAGCCACTTGCCCCCCCCCCCCTCCTCCATGCTATGCACTGTTCAGGCAGTACTGTTTTCGATAAAGGGTTTTGACGTTTTGCAGGTCCATGCTGTGATCTTCTCGTGTTATTCTCCTTTACATCTGCACTCGCGTGCCTTGTACTAATGTTTTTCGCAGTACCCACACAACTGCAGAATTTTCATCGAAGCAGGGAGATGTTTGCGAAAAGAATGGATCACTTAAAGGTGAGCGATAGAAGAACGGATGATAATCCCAAATGTAACCAAACGACAACGCTTGATCAAACGTTTCTGGGTTGCGCCATGCATCCGACTGTTATCCACGATGTGGTGATTTTCTGAATGCCAACTTGCAATGGTCCGTGGGCGCCAGCATGCATAAATTAGTGATTTTCTTTCCGTCCTCGCTCACCAGTTCCGTAGAATCTGAATGCGATCCCCGCGCTCAACCATTTCGCGCCGTCCTTCTTTGTTCAAGTAGTTTGGTCCTCAGTCAAGCTTATCCCATTTTCGCGGCTTCACATTAAAGTGACGAAGGCGCTGCAGCCCTCAGTGGCAGTATGGCAGTTCTGACACCTACTCACAGGGGGGGGGGCAAAAAAAAGTCACTTTCCTTCATTGACTTTCGAGGCGCTATAAGTTACACTTTATTGAATTCTGATCGGACATTTCACCACCATATTAAAGAGCATATTAAATACTATCATGACACTCCGCCACAGCCTTCTGGACGAGCGCCATCGAGAGATTCTGGCGCGATAGTCGATTTCTCCGTCAGCGACCACCACACTGAACTCCGCTCGGACCGGCAATTGAGGGGATTCAGGTCAGGTGACCTACTTAGATATTCCATCTCTTTAGGTACTCAACGCCCTTCCATTCCACAGTGGTAGTTGCACCCAAGTGCTGTAGCAGTACAAAGTTTCCAAGAAGGTACGGGCGACGACATGTGGGAGGATATTCTTCTCGAGTCGATGTAACCGCCAGCGCTCACCTTCAGTCCGGGGTCCACGAAGAAAATATGGTCTTTCCATTCCAGGTACGTCCGGTCCATACCATCAACCCGCGCCTTGGCGACTGTGGTGAAGATGATGTCCTAGACCGTGGCGACGTTGTCGGCTGCTCGATGTTGGAGGTCTTCCAGATCGAGAGTACTGGTCTCCAGGTAGCTATCCATGGGTGACTCCATACTAGAAGTTTCGCAGCTGTTTGGAGGTGACGTGAATTCCAAAGGTCTTCTCCAGTCAGGACTGCTACTGGAGATGACTTCATATTTTGGTGTACATGAAGTGATGGGCAAGAGCCAGCTCCTGCTTATCGAGGAACATCTTGGGTATCTTCCGCCCTGGTACTCGTATCCACGTCCTCTGTCTGGGCTGCGAAAACTTTGCTGATATGTGACTCGTCGAAGTGACTTTTTTATTGCTTCCCACCCCTGTAGTTGTCTCTCCCACCAAAACTCAAACTTTATTTTCTATCACGAGTTCAGCTCTGCTTTTGGATTTTTTTTTCTGATAGATATTGTTAGTATCAGGTGACATGATAAAACAACTTGGTCTTGGGGCGGGAGGATTTTGCTATGCTGCCATAAAACGAGCAAACCTGCAGAACTCGTCCAGAGAGGCTGCCAGGTCCATGGTTCTTTCTTTTTTTCTGCCCAGAAGAGGTATTCAGCAACTCAGGTTTGTAATTGAGAGCCTCTATTCACAACGGCAATAAGTCAGTCCAAGATTCTGTTAGTGAATACGATAGGGTACAAGGAAGGGAAGGGAAGTTATGGGCCAAGGGCAGTTAGGTGGTGGGCGTGGTATGGAGAAATTTCTCAAAACCCGATGGGTTCAGTTGTGTACGTTTTTGCGCCCATATATTATGTATTGATGGTAATAAATGGGGCTGAGCTTGTGCAATGGCAAATGGGACGCTTACCGTGCACACACTGGATCCATCCCGGATCGGGTTGTGCCCAGGCCAACTAAGCCTTCTGTCCTCCGCGGACGATAAAATGGTGACTTCGTCCCAGAGAACAAGAACACTGACTTGTACATCAGCTGTCCCCCAGAAGTCATTCAAGCCACATCGTATTCATTAAGCTACTACAATTTTAAATGGAATTAGAATGCGTGCTGTATCCTAAAAGGCGATTTATTAACGGCGAAGACATTACCCCCGCAACGGCTATATAGGTAACACCCATTTTTCGTAAAAGGTAGCGTGATTCACCACCGCAGACAACGTAGCACTCTTAAGGCTCTACTGCTAGTGAGGAGGACGCAGTATCTCCACCACGAACGTAGCTAGTCAGCTCATCTGCCTCGAAAAGAGCTACGTCCGTGGCTCTGTGTGTGTGGGGTGCTCTCATGAGTACAGTTCAGTACATCCAGATCACAGTTAAGGCAGCGAAAACCTCTTGTAAATGGTGTCATGTAGCAGCATTCGCACCAGGATCTGGTAGATTCATAAACAGGTGTAAGGTCAAGTAGCTGAGAAATACTCGGCTACTTTGCACGCGATACCGCAACAAGCGTGTCCTGAACCACACCCCCGTTGTCATGTTTGTGCGCGGTCGCTTCGGTTCGCTAGTCCAATATTGCCACTCTCACATCCTCTGTCTCTAGACTATCGCACGGCTTCGCAACGTCTCTTCGCCTCTCACTTGGGCTTCAATATTATTTATCAACTGTGAGAAGAGAAGCCCGCTTATGGTTAGGCGGTTTCGACAGCTGTTTGCTTAATAAAGTCAAGTCAACTAGCATCTATGAATGCTTGGGACCCAGTGTCCATAATCATTGTTGCTCATTTGCAAAAAGAGTCGGCGACACCTTGACCCCTTCTAGTTCCCTCTAAAAAGCGCGATTTTACAGAAATTTCTGAACGGTGATGTCTGGTCACTTCACGCCTTCAAAGATATCACACGCTTTAAAAGGCAGTCTGTGGACAACAATATCAAACCAGGTAACCTGGAAGAACTGCTTCAATCAGCACCACAAGAATGGCAGGTAGAACCAGCATCTGAGTTGCAAGAGCTTAGCATCGAAGGAAGAAGTCCTCGTAGTGATGAGCCCTTGACAAAAAATATTCAATGTCAAGGCCCTCCAGGAGCTGCAGGTGATCTGTTCTCATGAAGTCAGCTCTTCTCCACAGACAAATCCATGTTTAGGGCTTGATGGATGGGATGGAACCGATGGAGCCACGGGTCTTGATGGTCCTCCTGGAGTTGACGGGTTGCTGGATGTGCTTGAAGACGGATGTCTCGTGTGTCCGGCTGGAAAGCCAGGCAGACCTGGTCCTCCAGGAGAGAGAGGATCACCAGTAAGACACTCATGCCCGTTCAGGGTCACAGGGTACCTGTCAACTAGATATTCTTTTACTGCGAGGGTCCAGGGGCATTTTATCCTTGCATCTTCTGCCCGAATACTTGGAGGGAAGAGGGATAAGGTGGAATGAACAAGGAAAGAAAAAAAAATAAACAGAGGAGCTCCGGTTGACAGATGCCCTGAGACGAGAAAATGTATCTGGGCGCTCCCATCAGTGTCTGTCTTGCAACCCCTGTTTCTAAACACTTCCATACCTTCCCTTTGAAGGGCGAAAAAGGAATTAAAGGCGCTACCGGCGAAAGCGGTGAAAATGGAAACCCTGGCGAAGCTGGTGTCGAAGCAGGACCCATGGGATTCCCTGGAGAGCCAGGACCCCAAGGAGCGCCAGGAATACCAGCTCCAGACGTCATTACCGGTAAAGGACGACTAGGTAGGACTTGAGACAATGTTTAGATTCACATCTTATAGAAATGTTCAAGGTCCACCAGGTTCACAGGGCACTACAGGAGAGCCAGGACCAGACGGAATACCGGGCGAGTCCGTCCCGAACACGGAGACCGCTGTGGGTGCAAAAGGAGCGCCAGGCCCACCAGGAAACGATGGCTTGAAGGGTGAACGAGGTGAACCAGGCCCTGACGGACCACCTGGTCAAGACATTGAGTAGGTGAACGTCATATTAACGAGAACAACCAATAAATTTCTAGCCTTTCAGTTTCTGCCCATGTCCAGCACAAACATCGAGCGGAATTTCCTATACACCCTTTTATACGGTACAATCCTATTATTTTTAAAAAATCATACAGTTTTATGAGCAAACTTTCGGGAAACTACGTTCTCTTCAGGAACCTTTGACAAACTATCCTGTGTGGCCAGCAGCGCAGGAACGAAACAACTTGTTCTCACAGCGTCCATTCAAATGAATAAACAATAATCTTACACTTGATACATTTCCCATGTGATTCAACTGTATCGTGTGTACGACTGACTGATCATTTGTGACTTCAAGTAAAGACTAAGAAATAATAACAGATTTACTGAAAACAACAACATGGGAAAAACATTCATGGACGTGGTCCGCCAGGAACTCCCGGTCGGGCTTGAGCTGAACGCTGGCCAAAACGAGGAGGAGGATTGCGGTCCTTGCGAGCATCTCGGGATCTGTTACGTACCACCTTGCTGTGAATCGCACAGGCGACGCAGTAGTGGAGCTTGTGGTAGAGCTTCGGCAGAGCATACTCTGAAACACCAAAAACTCAACTGGCACATCTCGACCGCTTCCACACTCTAAAATAAAATAGGATAGGCTCGCCAATGTACATAGTTCATTAGGAAAGCAACTACGAAAGAAGAAAAAAAAACCCACGAAGATATAATAATATGGCATGGAGACTCTATACGCAGTGCGTTAGCAGCCAAGAAGTGCTGCAGCATTAGATTGTGTTCATACTTCGTAAGTAGGTGGATTCGGAGATTTGGAAGTTTGCCGATTTGAGAGACTGCGCGTCAAAGGTGTGGATAGGTGTCGATCGGAGCCGGTTGCTACCGACTGGATTCGGTGATCCGTCGATCTCCAAAAACGATAGCTCACTGAATCGCATAATCTAGCTAGGTAATTCGATCAACACCCATCCTGTCCTTCAAAGCGATATCGCCGGACCATCACTCTCGCAAATCGCCTAATCTTCTCACCAGGAAAGGTCAACAGGTCAGCCTGGCCATTTCCAATGAGCTGCACACCGTTGTACGCGTCTTGGGACAGTGAACTCAAATCTACCTTCAGAATTTGCGGAACGGAGTTATGGAGGGTTTTATCCCCGCGTGGTCGTTTCACATGCTATCGCGAGGAAACGTGGAAGCGTCTTTACATTTATGTATGGAGTCATGCTGAAACGTGGTAGTAGAGCGCAACGGGTAGGGAGCGGGTTTCTTAGGCGAGACGTCGTAGGATCGGTTCTCGGCAGGGTGTTTTTTTGCATTTGTCCAAGAACATGGCCGACAAAGCTTCTAACATCTCTGCTCGCCTGCACTATCCTGTAAGGAAACTGCGACCAGTTTTTTTCGAAAGTGTAGACCCATTGTGGCCTGAAAGAGTGCTTCTGCTTGTACCCCTCGTAACACGTGTCACAAGGGTTTTTGCAATGAAATACCATCATATTCATGTTCAGCGGGTTAAATTACCCCTGGGGACAAGTTTCTAGCCGAATCTGATATTTCGACCTCACTTGGAAAATGTGGGCTATTCCATGGGTAATTAGCAGCAGATTGGAGCTCACCTACCATCGATGACTGGTCTCGGAATGGGATTTCCTCCCGATAGTCAAGAAAATGATGCAGACGGCACAAATAAGTAAGCCAGGTACTGTTGTTTGCGAAAAGACATGACTGAAGAGTTATTTCAGTTCGAAGACCAGTCATCACCAGTATGCTAGTATAGTATCGCTGTTGGCTATCAGTCAGCCATGACTATCCATACCCCATTTTTTCGAAGTTGAGTCAGAAGCTCAGATTTTGCTAAGGTGACGTCCCTAGGGGTTATTTGACCCCCTGAACACGAATATGATACCTGTTTTGCGCGAAGAGCGCTGTGAGTCGCGCTACATGTGCCAACGCTTCGGCGCCAGCGCGCCCGTAAGAAGAAAAACAGTAAAGAAAAACCCCTCTAACTCCGCTCAGAGAATCGTTCCGCAAATTTTGAAGATAGGTTCACCGTCTCAAGACGGGTACAACGATGTGCATCTCATTGCAAATGGCCAGGCTGACCTGTTGACCTTTCCTGGTCAGTTGCAGGTACGGCCTTAGCTTTGAGGGGTTTTCAGAAAAAAAAATGTGAACGTGCGCAGGCCTATTTGAGAGTTTTTAGCATACTACAGGTCAAGCACTATAAATTCAACGCAACAAGCAGCTATAGTAAGGCTTTGATGAACAACTTTGGACGGCTTTCTCTTTCCGATTAAGCTCTATATTCACTGTCGGAGGGCACATATTAGGTCTTGGCAAAAATAATGACCGTTCCACGATTTTGGGTCACCAGCAAAGATGTTGTCAAGATCCGACTCATCATGGTTCACGAGTACAAACTCGGCCGTAATGCTGCGGAAGCAGCTAGGAATATCACCAACGCATGGGAGAAGGTACTACAAATGAGCGCACCACGCGTAGGTGGTTCGACAAATTCCGAAATGGAGACTTCAACCTGGAAGATCAGGAGGGACGCGGTCGGCCATCGGAAGTTAAAGACGACGAATTGAAGGCACAGATAGAAGCCAACCCAAGAGCATCCACAAGGGAAATTGCTGAAGAGCTGGGAGTTGACTTCGGAACTGTAGCACGTCATTTGAAGAAAATTGGGAAGGTAAAAAAACTTGACAAGTGGATCCCGCATGAGTTGACTGAGCACCAGCAATCTCGTCGTCTCGAAGTCTGTTCGTCTCATCTTTTGCGGAACAAAAACGATCCTTTTCTGCAACGCATTGTGACGTGTGACGAAAAATGGATTCAATACGACAATAGACGACGGTCAGGACAGTGGTTGGATCACGACGAAGCTCCTAAACATTTTCCAAAGCCGGAGTTGCACCAAAAAAGGTCATGGTGACTGTTTGGTGGTCTACAGCCGGTTTGATCCACCACAGCTTCCTGGCTCCAGGAGAAACCATCACAGCGGAGAAGTACTGTGAGGAAATCGAAAAATGCACCAAAAATTGCATCGGATTCAGCCGGCATTAATCAACAGAAAGGGCGCGATCCTACTCCATGACAACGCCCGACCGCATGTTTCATTGATGACAACAAAAAACTGATGGAGTTGGGATATGAAACTCTCGACCATCCTCCATACTCCAGACCTTTCCCCTACGGATTATCACTTTTTCAAGCATCTCGAAATTTTCTTACGCGAGAAATGCTTCCGAAACCAAGACGACGTAGAAAAGGCATTCAACGATTTCGTCGATTCCAGAACTCCAGAATTTTAATGCTCAATATCTAAACTGCCTTCTCGTTGGCAGAAATGTGTTGATTCTTTTGGTCGTTATTTCGATTGAAAAGCAACACTTTGAAGCGAGTTATGATATTTTAAAATATTGCTTCAAAACGGTCATTATTTCTGCCACGACCTAATAAATCGCCTTCACATAATGGCAAGGCATCACGCAGGAAAGGAAAACCTCCCTCGAAATGGCCCAAGTTTATAGTGAAAAAGGGAAAGCAATAATTTTAAGAGAAAGGATCTAAATGAATTTGAAATCCAAAGAAAGAATTATCTTGGAATCATTGAACTGAATTTATTACATTGACGCAGTCTGAAATGAGAGATACAATTATCGCAGCCATAACTGTGCAAATCAGAAACCTCTACCTACGTAGTATCTCATTACTTTGAGGCGGCGTCCACTTTGCGATGACGAGCGTCGACGCGCTGTACTGCGCGTCGACCAGGTGCGCGTTATGCAACGTGTACCCTCTTGTTCCTCCACACTTTACAAACAGACAAGCGACCAGCACTGATTGATTCCCGTCTGCGGCCGCGATCGCGTCTACACGACTGGAGCAACTGTAACACGTCAAAGCGCATGGTCGCGAGCTCTGATCCTTAGGGGTTGCCCAAGCCTTACTCACGACGATTTCCTCACGAATTTCGTACGTTTCAGTGAAATTGACGCCTAACCCATGTCAAGAGAGCTTCCGCATTCCCTATGGAAAGTTAGTGATCCTGCAAACACGCACCTGTGATCATTCCTAGGAGTGTAACTTTACTTTCCTGGTATTCCTCTCAGTGAATATCTGAATCATTCGTCCAACTATTTCTTGAAGCATTACAGCCATTATTATCGGAAACTATGTAAACTTAGCGACTGTCTGCGGCAGTGGTAAGAGGGCAGACCAAATAGTCGCTTCGCCCATTATTCCAGATATTTTACATCGGAATTCATAGAGCATCTTTCAAGCGTGGTTCTCTCACTGCGAGTGTGATGAGGTATTACCTCAATGCATGTTCTGGCCGAGCATTTGGAGGTAGGGGAACAAGGAAGATGGATGAGAGGAAGGAGGAAAAGGAATGAGGAGGAAGGCTTCGCGGGGTGAGTGATAGCTAGTGTATCCTGTTACTCTACGTCAGCACCGGAAGACGACACCTTTACCTACAGGAAAAATAAGCCTCAAATCATGGTTCATTCCAGTAAGAGATATCGTTGCCCAAAGGAACAGTCTGCGTGAAAAGTTTTGCAAAACAAAAGCTCCAGACAACAAAGAAAACTGGCAAGTGCAATCGGGAAGCATCATATTGATCTCTTCGCGAAGTTCGCGAAAAAGTGTTATACTATTACATCGAACTGAACGATGTACGTAGTTAATGAAGAGATGCGAAACAAAGACGATAAATTCGCCTCATTTAACTTCTACTGCGTAAGAGCGACACGAAGCATTACATAAATATTACCACAGTGAACGAAGAATCAGGCGATCGCAAAGCTAGTGCGTGATGTCACAGTGTTCCATAACTGAACTCGAGGGTAAGGCCGCGTTCATAGCTTGCAACCATGAAGAAATGCAGAAATGAAGAAATGCGGAATCTGCAGAAATGACGAAAAGCATTACATACATATCGATTTGAAGAAATGCAGAAATGCGGAAACTGCAGAAGTGCGGAATCTGCGGAATCTGCAGAAATGACGAAAAGGATTAAATACGTATCGACTTTCTGCAATTCCGCATTTCTGCACTTCTGCATTTCTTTACGGTCACAAGCTATGAACGCGGCCTAAGGGCTGTGTTTAAATAAGGCAGGTGAGGTGGTAAGTCGTGAAAAACGTAGCGAAAAAAAAACTAGAAGCAGTGACATAAAACAGAACACGTACGAAAAAGTCAAGGAAAAAAGAGGGCGGTGACACGTAGTTACAGGACTAATCGGCTGCGCCATTGTATCCCTCATCTGAAAAGTCTCGAAGCGCTGTCACACTCTGCGATCCCACCGTTTGAGATTGCGAGGTATGAACCCGCTCCTAGATTTATGGTTAGATGCAGACGAACCAAAGTACAGTCCCGAAGGGAGGGGGGTATAGCCTCCACTGCGCTTAAGGGATATGGAACCGCTCGGGCCCTTTCAAACCTATTCATCGTGTGAATTTGCTGTCCACACGTCACATGTGCTCTCTCGTCTCCCACACAACCCACTGCCTCGGCTATCCCGTTATCTAATCCCTCGAAAAAGTCCGTCCCCGGGTTTGCCTTTTACTATTTCACTCGCTTTCGATGCCGCTGTCCTCAGTCTGTCTGCGCTACTGTTATTCCTTGAGACATGCAAAAAAGCTCAAGCGTAGCATAAACCACAACATTAATGGCGGCACATTAACAATTTGGAGTCTGACTGGAGCAAAGCCAGTGAGAGAAGCCTAAGAATAAGGAGAAACCAAAACAGAGCAACTTGTCGAAGGTGTGCTCCTGCACTCCACCACACTTTTCTTAAAGGAGGCAATTGGATGTTCGTATAAAACATCCCAACAGAGAAAACATCTCAGCAGTTCACGCGAGTATACACAATCATTAGAACAAGTTTCAGGAGCTACACTTGCAACTAAGGGGGAAAACAACGCGCGTCGTATTTTCAGCTATTAACTTTCAAGTTGGTCTGAATACTGAAATCGTTTTAAATACTTTCATAACCGAGATTCTCGAACCCATTCTCAATAGAGAGCTGTTTGACATTGGGAAACAGGAGCATTGAAAAAACACCAGTCATTTCTCTAAAATGTTGTAACTCTGCTCCACACAAAGTGCAAATACAGAACAATGTGGACAGGTACCCCAGAAAAGCAAAAGTCTTCCAGCTCTGATGAGAAGGCACCAAATGGGGATGTCGCACAAGTCCTATGCATACACGCTATGATGAAGTATCAGCGATGAACCTTCCGTTATAGGTAAATATCCTTGAGATCCAAAATAAGGTCGAGCATGAAGCAGGGTTCAGACTTCGCGACGGCAGCGCTTCGGTCGCGTCATTCAAGAGATCGATGTACATATTTTCGACTGTATCGATCGCGTGGGACGTGCGTTTGAAGCGCTGCCGTCGCGAAGTCTGAACGCTGCCTAACCTTTTCTTCCAAAGCGAAGCGAAACGGAAACTTGAACTACTGTTTAAAAAGCCTTCAAGCAATCCACAAGTAATGGCTGATTTGTTAAAAGCCACTGTAAATAAAAGGGAACCAAATAATCTATATAGGGTATTGCCTCAGAACAAGAAAGTGTCGGGTCAACAAGTAGCATGTAGGCGTTTTCATGGGAGCAGCACAGCTCGAGACTTTAAAAAGGCGATAGCAAAAGCTATTCTAAGTCGTACTTGATGCTTTAAGAACTCACGCATATATGCGGAAGCTTCTCCAATATCACGGACGGCCGCAGCTTCGACGATATTTCTTACAACAAACTTCTTGATGGCTTTATCTTGGGACAACAGCGACCACAGTTTGTGCAACGAATAAACGTACAACGTCCTCGATTCTTCTTGTTTCTTCCATGATTCCTTCTCTTGACCGTCATCTCTACCCTGAAAAAACCCATAGATTAGGAGAAACATCACATAGAAGTCGAGAACTCATCAGCACACGCGGAAAACATCCAAATAAATCGAGACCACAGAAATCCCTGAATTCGCCCGAAACAACAATTAGAGCGATGCGCTCAGGACAGAACCTTCAAAATCATACTGCAGCGCTCACTCAGACTTATAAAACTCTAGAAGTAATATGGTGTATTTAATACATGTGATAAATAACAAATATTTAAAGAAACCAGTTTTAGGAAAATGAAAGAAAAGGAGAACAGACAGAGAAGTACTGTAGACGGTAGTTACCTGCACATCTAAATCGCAAATTCATTGGAGCGCGAAAACTGATGGTGAGGTTGCGCCGTGGTCACCAGGCAACCACGAGTATAAGCAGGTCATAGAAAAATGTTGATCCCATCCATGACTGATACGATTTCTAGATACTTTCTGTGTCTAGTAGCACATATGGTGCTGATTTGTACATTATTTTTTAACCAGGTAGGAGCAGTGGTCATTCAGAGTTCGTGTGCACTTAAGTCCTCAGAACTCGTGCCCTTTGCAGGACCCGTTCATTTTGGCATCATTTCCTCCCCGTACGACTACGGTTCGAGAGGATTCCCGCGTAGAGTTCGTTGTGCTGTTGTCGCTCTGGTTGCTCATGGACATCTGCGAACTCGCGATCCTCATAATACGGGTCCCTTCCGTAGCCGTAGCATTGATCTCTTCCTCTTTCCATGCAATCAGTTGTATATTTTTGTTTAAATTCATAATAGACGTGCATCCTGTTAGTAACTTTTGGAATCTTCTCATTTGTACATCTTGTCCGCCCTTAATTCTCAACTTGGGTCGATTTTTGATCCGTTCACGCCGAAATAAATCTCGTTGAGAGTGCGTTCATACTTTGCATCAGCGTTTTAAGCGCTTTCGCGAGCAGTCCATACAAACGTTGCGTACGTCCAAAATTCTGATGGAGGATGGATCTACATCCAGTTCCCTATTCGCTCGCAACGCGAAAAAAAAACGCTGCCGCACGCTGAAAACGCTGACGCAGAGTATGAACGCAGCCTGGGTGTAGTTTCATGCTAGCAGACAGGAAAATCTCTTTATTACAGTGAGACTTCCGAATTAACGACAATAAACGATGATCGTATTCTCTTCAGAGACTCGCAAAACAGTTACATGCACTACGGCATGGCCCGAACGCCAAATAAGCTCGAACCAGGCTCTAGTGTTCTTACAAAACAAGATAAGTCGAGTTTGAGAAACTAGTACAACATAATTAAGTTCTCTGATGGGTACCACGAAAAAGCTTTCAGAAACAATCAACGATCTTTTTTTCGATGTGGAAAGAGGGGGAGGGATAGGAATTGTTACGAGATACATCACCTTTACTCATAATGTAACACATCAAGTGCCACTTTGAAACCAAAGTGAGGAAGGAATAGAGCGCCTACAGACAATGAGAACAAGGTAATAACAAGTTGTGAATGTAAGCTGTACAACGCCAATATTCACTTAAACATCAGAATTCACTACCAAGTGAATCTAATACATTGAAGATATAAGACTATGACGGGCAACGACCACAGGGATGGATATCATCCAAACAGTACAGAAATCACATATGAAGTTTATTGATGTTGGCAGCGGACTCCGCCTTCCTCGGCACCGTGGTGGCTTTCCTCATTACGGTAACGATTTATAGCTATCTCATTTAACTCAAAAACTTCATCATCGTCACCAACCAAACATTCACCTGCAACGTTCAATTATCAGAAACTGGGAGGAGAAAAAGGACAGGAGTGAACTCACTTTTGCCAGGCAGAAGTTCAGAAAGTTTCTTCCGAGCATCTGCCGTCAACCTTTCGGGGAATACAACGCGGAATTGGAGAATGAGATCGCCCTGAAACGAAAACGTCATACCTGCAAATTTCTAGCCAAAACCATTTTCCTAGTGAGGCACTATTCATCCTTTACTGCCCCAGTCTTTTGAAAACAGGCCAGTTTTTGACCGACTTTTTTCTGCTTGGCAGAATTGGCTGAAAATTTGTTCCCTGGGGTAGTTTGACCTCCTGAACATGAATATCACATCCGCTAGGCACGAAACCTCCTGGCGCCCGCGCTACAGGTGCTGGCGCCAAAATACCTCAGATCACCGGCGCCTGTGGCGCGGGCGCCAGGAAGGTTTCGGGCTGAGCGAATGTCATATTCGTATTCAGGTCAAAATACCCCAGGAGACAACATTTGAGCAAACTATGTCCACGGAGAAAAAAGTCGGTCAGAAAGTGGCTCAATTTATTTATTCTGTGGACATGTTGATAAACATGTGAATAGGAATTAGGAGAACTACAATTCCTCATGAAGCTAGAGACAAAGAATTAAACAAACACATCAATATGTTTGGGGCAGCAAAGGTGTAAATAGTGCCCCTAGTGACATAGCGGCATGTTGGCCTTAGACGAGGAAACCCTTCCCTGTCTAGGAGTGGACATCCACAGTCGCGTAAGGCAGCGTCGAGACTTCGCTAAGACGCGCGTCGACGCGCTATCACTGCAAAAGCGCTCTGATCCCATAGACGAGAACACAGCTACAGGCAGGTAAGGATCGGTGACAGCCGCACTGCTTTGAGAGAGAGAGTATGGACGAATAAGAGAACTGTCCTCATCACAGTCTGGTACTCTCTCATTCATTCTACTGTCGCTCATCACAGTCTGGTACTCTCTCATTCTTTTATAGTCTTCCAAAACACTAGCGGTCTGCCCCGATCGACACCCGTCTATGACTTCGTTCTCCTCTTTAGCAGGCGCTGTCGCGATGGTAGCGCATCGACGCGCGTTATCGCGTAATCTGAAGGCTGCCTAAAAAGTGCCAATTTTGCTGCTCAAAGGGAAAAAGTAAAAGGGTTCAAGCTAAGGGACTTCGATGCTGGTCAGCCGCAGATACAAAATCCCACCCATAAGCATGCGACTTTTGTGCGCGATTGTATAGTTTTTTTTGACTTCAGATGCGGTAGTGTGCTTGCTTGGTCCTATTTTCTCTGCATGTTCCTCCAGTGCTTGAGGTTAACTCTGATATGATATTTCAAGGATTTCAGTCGCCCTTGTCTTGAATGGTAGTTCAATTACCAATAGAAAGTTACAGTTACATTTGGACCTCGCTATGCACAATTTGAGAACACGATCTGTGAATTTGTATGTCTTCAAGTGTTCAACTCCGAACAAACCTTTTCCTGAGGGTTCCTTCGATGCGGCATTCCCTCTCCATAAATAACTTTCATATCAGCGTGCTTGATAACCTCGCCTGAAAATTTTCAAAATAATTTCAGTCCTCAAAAGCCTAGATGTATGAGTTGAATTAGTTAACTGTCAAGGACTACCTGGCAAAACATTGAAGAAGAGAGTTCTGTCATCCAATGTTTTGATGACGCGAGAGAATCCACACATGGCTTCAACGAGCTGCAAGAGAAGTGGGTGATTATTCATTGAACGTGCGGAAACACGCGGAAAAAACCTCCCAGACAGTACCAACCTCAATTTCAAGGTTCATTACTAGATTATCGCCTTTCCTGAAGAATGTGTTATGATCCTGAAACAAAGGAAGACTTTGCAGTTCTTGTCATAGTAAAGAAAAGCAGCCCAACTAACTTTTTCATCAAGAATGATTACGATGTCGCCAGGAGGTACATCGTGATCTTCATCTCCTCTTCCTTCGAACATGATTTTATCACCGTCTTTCATTCCCTTTTCGACATGGACTTCCAATATCTCTTCAACTTTGCGCTGTAATAATTTATAATTATATATATCAATTAATAATTATAAAGGATTCGGTTGCAGGCGATTAACTATAGTATTTCAGATCGCTGAAGAAGGTGCTAAGCACCGAAATATTCGAAGGAAGTATTAGTAACAATTTAAAATTTTTTGCAAGAACTTTTGGATTCTTTTGAGTTTTTTGCAATAAATTTTTGGCGCCTCTTTACGTGTTTCATGTTCAGATTTCAATGAGGCTCCGGGACAGCACCATATTAAGAAATCATCATAATTCTCTGAAACATCCAGTACAAAGTGGCCAATGCTGTGAAATCCGATCATGCAAATCTTTAAGGAAGTCTCCGCGAAGCGCGTTACAGCGCGTCATCGCGAAGTCTGAACTCTGCTAAAATACTCAAGAGAATAATGTGAATCAAAGCGGAAGAGTGCAATCTGATTTTTTTTAAGTTTGCAATGAAATTTGATGACTCACTACTACCAGGTTGGCCAGGTTGGGAGGAAAGTTGTGTCACTTTTCTTTCAACTCAAAGAACTCGTCTTCAATTTCAAA